CTCCAGCCCCTTCCCAGCTCCGTTCCCTGCCCTGGACACGCTCCAGCCCCTCCAGGTCTCTCCTGCAGGACCAGAACTGGGCACAGCCCTGGAGGGGCCTCTCCAAGCCAGCCCAGAGGGACAATCCCTGCCCTGCTCCTGCTGGACACACAATTCCTCATCCAGCCCAGCTGCCAGCGGCCTCTTGCCCCCCTGGGCACCCCTGGGCTCGTGTCCAGCCCCTGGCACAGCACCCCCAGGGCCTTTCCCAGCTCTCCAGCCCCACCGGGGTTGTTGTCCCTTGGCCTGGTTGAACCAAAGAACAGCACAGTGACATCCAGGTGTGTGTACAGCTTTACTTTGGTCCACTAACATATGTACATCATCAAAGCCTGTAACATGAAAGAATCTGATTCCTTTATGATTCTGTCCTGCACTTGAACATTTGCCTCTGTTCATGCTGCCTGATCACCATCACAGACTCAGGTCCTGCTCTAAAACAAACCAAAACACCCCCCAAAAGTCACATTAAATAAAGATCCTACTTTTAAAGGTCTACTACTTCGTGTCCCTGAGTACAGCTAGACCAAACCAAAAATGCTCACGTAAAGGAAGGTGAAAGGACTGCCAATTCTACAAGAGCCACCATGCTCCTTTAATAAATTAAAAATAAATACTCTTAAAGAGTGGAAGACTCAAAATACCTTTCCAGTTTAATAATTTCTCTTCCCAGTAACTGTATAAAATTAGGAAATACAGACCATCACATGCTTTGCCTAGAAAATAAAAGTGTCAGGGTCCCTAAGGATCCCTCTTGGATCTGCAGCTCCAAAAACCAGCACCATCTCCAGCTTTCAGGGATCATGAACCTCTGTGTGCAGTGACAGAATACAGCACCTGAAAGAAAACCAGCTTTGTAAATCTAAACCTAGATTAGAAATTCAAACCTACCGGCCCAATTTTAGCTGTTTGAAGTGAAAATTAATAAAAACTCTGATGTTCAGTTTGGTTATTCCCAAATTTGAGTAGTTGTACTCCAGAGAACATTGAGAATATGCAGCTGCTAATAGAAAAAAATAGTGGACTTATTACCTTATAACAAATTTTGCTCCTCAAAGAAAACACAAAGCCACCTTCAAGTTTTATCACTAAACACAAATGTGTTTGTATTTCAGAAACCAAATATAGAATCCAGATAAACATTTATCTTGAATTTACAAAATTCTGCTGCATCCTATTAAAGACTATGCTCTAAATAAAACTTCCTGGGGCAAGAACCATTTAAATTATTTTTGGACTTCACATGGAAATTTTAAGGAAGAAGAAGAAAAAAAGGAGTATTTCTCTGTGCTAACATCTGACATAGCAAAAGTGATGGTAAAATCAGAGTTATCAGTGAGGGTGTTGAAATTGTTCTCACTGATGGCAGCTCCTTTTTCCATGATGCCTTTCCATTTGTACAAGGATTTCTGTCATTATTCACCAGGATTGTGCAGCTGCAGTAATTTTTTCACCCCCCCAAATCCTTCTGGATCCCACTACCAATCAGACCAACCCAATTCCCGAACTTGCTATTTCAGTTCACATGAGCTAGGTTTGGATCAATCTGATACTCTGTCACATCTTCTATTGAATGACAAAATCAGGAAGGGAAGCTGCAGCACAGAGGAGGAACCCTGGAGTGGGGAAGGAGCAGAGATTCCCTGATGTTGGGCTGGGGGAGCCATCGTGGGGCTCCCACCAGCACAGTTCCAGGGAAAACTAAGAATTCAGAGCTGCTGTGTGTTTTTGTTGTTGATATGTCTTCAATCAGAGACTTGCACATATTTTCCTGGCAAAATTTTCTTTCTTGTCAACAAGAGCCAACTCAAACATTGTGGAAACAGGAGATAAACTACAATGGTCAGAAACTGGTAAGGTTTAATCAATGGGAAATCCAACATTCAAACACTTTAAATATGGAGGAACAACAGAAACGTAGCAAAAAAAGGTCTGGAATGTCGGAATCCTGCACCTCAAGCTTTCCACGCATAAAGAAAACAGAACAAGTGTTTTGTTTGTTTTTCTATTTTATAAAGAAAACACACAAAAACCCTTTAGGCCCAAGAGTTCACCTGCATTTCATAATCTTAAAAGTTTACAGTATAGAAGTCACATTAATGATGTACTACCTGTCAGCAGAACCCTCTGTTCACCAAAGCCTCTGGAACTGGCAAATCAACTCCTTCACTGGTAACTGCTTCTCAGCAATGCAAGCAGAGAACACTGAACACCTGCACTGAATCAAGCTGTGAAGTTATCAGCCTTTTCATTCCTCTTTGGAAGCAATGCTTGCATCCACCAGGTTTTTAGAGTGTGTACTATGATTTAGAAGCCTGTTACTATTGTAGATGATTTCATACAGCATTAGAGATGTTTGAAATCTGTTCTTGAATGTTGCATGACCTAGGTAGTATTTCATTGCAGCACCCATAACAATAATACTCGACATACTGCTATTAACCTGTTTGCAGTGTTTTAACATTTTTTTAACTCTTGTTTATATGTAATAAAATACCAGTAAAGACAAAAAATTGCCCCTATAATGAGGCACATTTTGGCATCTGTGCTAAATGCTGCTACATGGGCAGGCAAGTGCAAGTCAAAATATGAAAAAGGAGAAAGTCATCATCTAATCACATTCATAACTTTTTCATAGAAAAATATAAATATATTCCCTGAAATGTAGGACAAAGAACAGCCAGCGCCCATCAGGAGTTCTAGTGCTATTACCATTAAAAAAAAAAAAAAAAAAAAAAAAAAAAAAAAAAAAAAAAAAAAAAAAAAAAAAAAAAAAAAAAAAAAAAAAAAAAAAATAAAAATAAAAAACCAGAGATGGGCTGGCTATCCTTTTGTTAAGGTTACGTTTCGCAGGCGGCATCCTCGAGGGCTCTGTCGTCGTCGTCGCCGTCGTTGTAGCGCACGGTGCGCCGGCCGCCGTTGCGCGTGCGGATCTTGGAGCGCCGCGGCGCCCGCCGGCACGCGCCGAACTCCACCTCCTCCGAGTCCTGCTCCTGGCTGCCTTTCCGCCGTTTCCTGCGCTGCGGCCTCCTGCAAGGCCTCAGGGAGTCCTGGCTGAGGCTTTCTTTCCTGCCGGGTTTGGATTTCCTCTTGCGCTTCCTGCTTTCCGTGGCGTCGCTGCAGACGGTGGTGTCGGTTCCAGAGTCCGAGGAGAAACAGGTGAAGTTGGCTTTGGATCTTCCTGCAGTCCCAGGTGCCTCCACATCCTCGGAGACAGAGCTTTTCTCCTCTTGTTTCCCCCCCTTTTCAGATTCTGTTGTTTCCTTGAAGTCATCCACCCGTTTTAATCTCTTGAAAGAAGCTCTGGGTTTTTTATTTGCTGCTACTCTGGTATTTTTAGTTTCAAGTTTAGCTAAGTCAGAATCAACCTCCTCTTCAGAGTTACTCGTACAATGGTTGTCGGCTGAAGCTGCCTGCCTAGAAATTCCCCAGTTTCCCCCATTTTCTACCCTGTGGTTTGTGGAATTCTCCTCTGAGGAGTTATAGTCAAAATTATTCAGAGCTGCAGCACAGAGGGGTTTGTGTGGCTGCGTGTGGTCATCACTCTGCTTCCGAGTTTCTGTCTCCGAGTCAGTCCTCTCATTCTCAGACTCAATAATATATTTCCTTTTAGAAACAGAAGGCTCAGGGCAGGAAGGTTTTTTCCTGCCAGAGACCTGCTCACTCTCATTTTCAGACTTGGAACAAGCCTCCACCTCCGAGCTGTTAAACAGCTTCTTCCTGCAGGCTGAGGACACGCTGCCCTGGAGCTGCTTGCGGTTCTTCCTGACTGGGTAAACACTTTCTGAGCTGGATAATTCCTCCTTGGCTTTGCTCATGATCTTGATCTTGCTGGCTGCCAGCGTGGCACACCTGCGGGGGTTCTTCTTCTCCCCCACGCTGGACACCCTGATGTGTTTCTTGTAGTTGATGATGCACGTCCTGCTCCGCAGCACTTTGCCACTTTGGCTGGGCTCCTCTGATGTTTGCTCTACAAAAGAAAGATGAAAAAGTTCTTTTTCATGTCTTACATTCCTGAAATTATTAGTTTATTATGCCCAGACCCTATCACCTTTAATGAAATACACAAATATTGAATTTTATTTTGAATTCAACTGTTAAGTGCAATTTATCTCAAGTCTTTACTAAAAATACAAGCAGTATCCCAGGAATACTTTTAACTCTTGAGATTGTCACTTTCAAACCTTTTCACAGTCTCAGAAAGGCTTTCTTTAGCATTACTCTGTTAATTAGCTGAAAAATTACAAATTCCCTCACCAAGCAAATGCTGTCATATTAGTAATACTTGTATCATTAAAAGTTGTATTTTCCTTACTAGAATAAAACTTGCAGTGTTAATTACATATTTTAGCCCTTTTATCCTAAAAAAGTAACTATAATATTTCATGTGGATGCCAATTTCATGTGGATTTCAAATTTCAATTTTGCATGGTTTCAGGTGGAGAACACTGAAACCCTTCAGCTCCTTAGTGACTTTAACACTCAGATTGCTGCTAACAGTGAATCTTCCAGTCACTGTTTTAAAAATCAATATAGAACTTGCTTTTGTTGTGTTTTAAAACAAATATTCCATGTGTAAATCATATACTATGAAGATCAGTGTTTCCCTTCTAAGTAAGACAATTCATACATATGAATAAAAAAAAAATCAAAAGTTCTTAAAGCAAATTTAAAAATGCAAGCAGAGGGAAAAGTTCTCAGGCATAAATAAAAATGTCCAGCTTGAGTACCAATATTAACAATCTCTTCACATAAAAAATCTGGTCCTTATTTAAATGTAGATCCTTTTATGTACTACTTCAGTATATCCCTATTTTTAAGTTTTCGAAGGAAAATTAATTTCTTTTCTTTGTTATGAGCTTCCAGACATGATACATGAATATTACTACTTGTAGCAGTTGTATTGTCTGATTTTTATGGCCAAAGCACAGCATATTTCTGCTGCACACTGCAAAATGCTGTATGAAATGTGAATTAATCCACAGGCTAAAATGAAGAGTTAGATCTTATACAATATTATTGTATAAGATATTATAGAATTATTGTTGCATACAAATATTATTGTCCTCCAATATTATTAAGTAGTTGGAATACAAGAGTAAAGAATAAAGAAATCCAGCCTGCAACACTGCCAAAAGATTAAAATTATATACAAAATTTTAAATTTGGAACAAATCTATAATAAAATGTATTGAAATTCCCCACTGAACATCCACAGATAAAAGCTGCAGAGCTACAACCAGGTGGCAGAGGCAGAAAGAGGGAGCATTAAACCAAGCACCCCCAGAAACTGGAAGAGCTTTTAAAAGCCTCAAAGATGTGAAATTTTAGTTCATCAGGTGTCCTGGAGTTCAGGCCAAACTCCAAACCTGGAATACTGGACTGGAAAATCCAGCCTGAGCTCCAACCAGCTCAGCTGCAGGGGGCACTGCAGCCCACAAGGTATTGGCACAATTTATCTGAAATAAATTCTGTTTTTTTAAATCTTTTCTGATATATAAAATCCCATGCTAAACACTACACACCTATAATATATATTATATATAACATAATCTACATTACAGAACTATATACGGACTGTTTTACATATCAAAATAGATTATGTGATATTTATATTATATATACATTAAAAAGAAGCAAAGCAAAGCTTCCACATAAATTGTTTAGCTGGTTGAGTGTGTGTGTATATATATATATATAATACATATTTATTTGAAAAAGTAGGAACTCTACAAGTATGCCCCTATATATGTATTAAATAGAAGATCTTGGGACAAAACAAATAAATATTCCTTGTGGAAAACTGTCAAGACAGAGTCATCTTAACAGACACAGCAATTAATTAAAAAACAGTAATTTTCTTAAGATTCTTAAACTATATTGACAGGATTGGACGGATTGCACCAAACACCAACCTCTGAATAGTCTTTCAAATTCCAAATCAGGACCAATTCCCTGATTTTATGAAGGCACAATGTACATGACCTGGTTTAATAAACATCAGCATCATTCTCATAAGCTTAAAAAAAAAAAACCAAACCAAACCAACTCTCAAATCATGATCATCCACTACACAAAGATCTGAGTGATGATAAAATTACAGAATAAAACCTAAAAATGAGAGAAGTTCACTTTCTGATACAAGTGGAATATAAATTTTAGTTCTGACAAGTGCCTGTCTGTGTTAAGGACTCTACACATCATTGACAAAATAAAATCTCAAAGTGAAATCAAGTTTCAGGTTCTGGTGAACACCATGGATGCGAGAATAATTTAAAGACCTTTCCATCAAATAATTTTGGGAAACTACCATAAAGTTACTTCAAACTGAAAGTAACAGTTGTAAATCTGCTGTAGCACAGAAAATCTCATGAGGAAATTAAGGCAAGGTAAAAGAACTGAGGTTTGGGTTTGGGTTACATAAATCCCCAAACAAGGAGCTGGACAAAGAGAGAGACTGGAGATGTCTCTTGGAGATTTCCTCTGTCATCTACTCAGTATTGAGAAATAGAGAAATTAACTTAAAAAATGTTACCTTTTCTAACTATTTTTGTTTTTCCTTTCCTCTTCCTCATCTTTGCTTTTGCAGAAGTTTCACAGTAATTGCTGTTATTGGAATCGCTCTCCGAGTCCGAATCAGAAGAGCGATGGAAGCTGGAGGCAGCTCCAGATTTGGGACTCCTCACAATCCTAGTGGGCACCAAGCTCTCCCATACAAAATTCTTCTTCTCCTCTGTGGCTTCTGCTTCAGATTCTGCTGTGTCCTCTAAATCACTCAAGACTTTTGCTTTTTTTAAAGGAGGAGACAGCTGCAGCCCAGAGGCTTTCCTGCCATTCCACCTGTCTGACCCAGAGTCCGCCTCATCCTCAGAGTTGCTCACTGCAGGCTTGTGATGTGCAGGTGTTGACTGGTCAGAAACCTTTTGGCTGCTCCCATCCTCAGAATTATGGCTTTTGGAGTCCTCTTCTGATAAGTCTAAGGTGGGACTTTGCCCTTTGGGAGACACAGAGCAGGCAGGGCCCCGGAACTGTTTGTGCCCGTTGCTCTGCCAGCTCTTCTGCTTGCTCTGCGTGTCGGGCTCAGAATCCGAGCTTCCATTCTCAGATTCGCTGACAAACTTCCTTCGTGGAGCAGAGCAGCCAGTTTGAGAAAGAGTTTTCCTCTTGGTGAGCTGCTCCTCTATTTCCTTGTCACTCTCAGACTTCAGGCCAGCCTCATCCTCGGACCCCTCCAGCAGCATTCTCCTGGCGGCGGCCGAGGCGTTGCGGTGCGGCAGCTTCCTGTTCCTGCAGATCCCGATGCTCTCCGAGCTCGACACCTCTTCCTCCACGTCGCTCATCAGCCTCAGCTTGTTGGCAGCCACAGCAGCACTCCTGCGTGGGGTTTTCCTGTGCCTGCCCTTGCTGTTGCTGAGGGACTCGGATGTCACTGCTGAAGTATTTTCAGAGTCGCTTCCATATAACTTCTTCCTGACCGTTTTCCTTGTATTGCCGTTCTCCTGAAGAAGAGTTCCTGTAAAGGAAAGCAGGGATTAGCATCTTAAAAGTTAAATAGCAGCTGTGAAGTCCAAACTGGAACAGGTTCAACCCACAGACATGCACAAAATAGATTCCTAGTGAGAGTCAGGTGCTTTTGCTGTCATAAAGTTCAGATTCATTCTGGTTTTGTGACAATTAGAACTTCTTTATATGGACTACTGCTGTTTTTCTTCAGATATGTTGCAAGTCATTCCCTCTCACCAGGCTCTTGGCTGCTGCCCTCTTCCCCTAGTCGTGAAAAAAACTTTTAAAAAGTTGAATGTAGTATTTGAGGGCTTCAAAATTAGCACCAATAAAAATATTAGTATCTTACACATACAACCATTTAAAAAAATACTAACTCCACACAGTTATTTCTTATAAATATAAAAATTTGGACTTTTCTTGCTGCTCACAAGAGACTCGTGGCACCCCACCTGTCTGTTTCCTCTGAGCAGCTCGGTTCCGAGTCAGCCTACGACTGCTTTTCCTCCTGCACACCCCATTGTGCAGGGGAGAGGAGGACACAGGAGCCCCAGAACAGCCTTTGCTGTCTTCTGAGCTGCTTGAGGAGGATGAAGATGAAGAGGAAGTAGATGAAGAAACCCCAGAACCTTCTATTTCACTCTCTGTTAAAAAAAGAAAAAAAAGCAATTGGCAACTGACAATTCTAAACAGCTTCCAGTTAAGAGTTACATTTTGCTGACCCTGGAATCTTCAGAATTTTCTCACATGATCTTAAAATAAAATGAATTCTCATGCCTGAATGTCTTACAGGAATCAAACTGATACCTCAACAAAATCCATATTCATACAGTGTTCAGTGACAGGAAGCTTCTTTAACTTGTATTTAAGTTTCAATTAAAACA